CTAGTTTGAATATGAATAGATTTGTTAATAATAATTGTTTAATGAACGTAAAACCTTAAATCAGACCATTAAACTTTAACAAATTTAACAACTTTTATCTTTGGGGTTTAATTTGCGCTAGATTAAAACTTTTGGGTTTAATTTATGTTAAATTAAAAAGTTAGGGTTTAATTATCAATATTTTTGTTGTTGGGGTTCTTTAGATGAAACAAAAATTTCTTTGGTTTTTTTTTTTTCTGCATTTTCTCCGTGATTAAGAGGATTAACGCGGAATGGATAAGCCGATATTATTGTTATTTTTTCGGCATCACATAAGTTGATTCAAGTGATATTGGATATATGTATATGAAAGTTAAAACTTATAAATCACCAAAAATAAAAATATTTACATAACTAAAAGGAAAGCAACAAATGTTTAAATGTTCAAATGTGTAATATTTACAAATGTTTCCAACAAATCTTGTTATAAAGTTTAAAAAAAAACTTATGCAAATCCAAAACAAACTTAAGACAAACATATATCGTTTGGCTAACCAAGTTTAAACATCTTATGTATATAGAGGATTAGTAATTAAAGAAAGAGTTGAGAGATTCAAAAGCGTCTCGACATTGTTCTCTGACAAAGAGAAAAGATTTTCACAATTGTTCCTAACAAAGTCAGAGTTACGTTAGGGTTTCTCCCGCTCCCACATTGTTCTCACAAACACTAGTGAACAAGTGTTGCCTCGTCAAACTTTTGCCCTGTTGGTTGTGTTGATGGGCTTATCATCATCGCTGAATAGCGAGCGTCCTCCATGAGAGCAAAACAGTCAACACCGCTCACAAAAGCATGCAAATCAACGATAGCCATCTCATCTCCTACCTCGAGCTTATCCAATTGAAGATAGTCGAAAAAACGCTCGAGAACCCAAGCATCACTTCTTCTCGACATAAAGGAAAGCTCTACTACTTTTTCATAAGCAGCAACAAGCAGAGTGAACATACGATTTCCCCTACCACCTGGCTTCATAAAGTCAAACAAAGGGTTCGCATCCACGGTGTCCCCCAAACCATGCCAAAAACGCTTCCCATACTGCACGAAAAACAGAGCCGTCAGCTTCATAATACAGAGCTCCTTCAGTGTGATCCCTCCAGGAAATGTAAATAACAGATTGCCAGGGCATCTGAGCAGATCCCACAAGGAAGGATGGTCAATGCACCACCTAGCCGCTGCTCACAAGTAGGCTGAGACCCCCCCCCCCCCAACAGTACCAAAAGGTGTTCGGGCGGTGGCATGATAGCAGAATAGTTAGAGTCTGCCATGTAAGCAAAGCAGTCAACACCACTCACCATAGCTTGTACATCAATGAGAGCCATCTCGTCTCCTTCCTCAAGCTTCTCCAATTGAAGACGTTGGAAAAAGCACTCGAGAGCCGTTGGCGCGCAAGATTTAGATTTTGGCAGGGGTACAGTTTTAAGTACTTTTGCATAAGCATCAATTGTTGGGTAAGCTTCAATGACTTGAGGCCCAAGACATCTTAAACAAGTCGGTTTAAGATATGAGAAAAAGGGAAATTGTCTAATTCAAGAAGTAATAGGAAAATGGTAGTTTTCCAATTACAAGTAGGATTAGAAATAGAAAATAGCAATGTGTGCTAACCCTATAAATATGTTTGTTGGATTGTGGCAA